TTCGGTAGCTGCATCGATTCTCTCATATAACCATCTTCTAGAATGATAAATATCACTTCCACTGGATGTCATTTTGTGTGTTGGGTTTTTATAATTTTTCGAATCTTGAAGAGGAATGAAGGGTGAGAGAATTTTATAAAAATAGTTTGCAAAACAATTTCGTTGCTAACATTAATATTTGCAACGAAATTGCATTGCAATGTTAATAACCGGTTATTAATAACCGGCCTCATGTAGCAACAAAATTGTGTTGCAAAATCTTGAAATTCGCAACGCAATTGCGTTGCAAAGTTTTTTAGCAACGCAATTGCGTTGTTAAAATAACGCGGAGCTCTAACACCACTGGAATTTCGTTGCTATCGTAATTAGCAATGAAAATTTTGTTGTTAACTAACCAACGAAATTCGTTTCGCGGCAATTTCCGGTAGCTGCATCGATTCTCTCGTATAACCATCTTCTAGAATGATAAATATCAGTTCCACTGGATGTCATTTTGTGTGTTGGGTTTTTATAATTTTTTGAATCTTGAAGAGGAATGAAGGGTGGGAGAGTTTTATAAAAATAGTTTGCAAAGCAATTTCGTTGCTAACATTAATATTTGCAATAAAATTGCATTGCAACGTTAATAACCGGCCTCATGTAGCAACAAAATTGTGTTGCAAAATCTTGAAATTAGCAACGCAATTGCGTTGCAAAGTTTTTTAGCAATGCAATTGCGTTGTTAAAATAACGCGGAGCTCTAACACTACTGGAATTTCGTTGCTATCGTAATTAGCAACGAAAATTTTGTTGCTAACTAACCAATGAAATTCGTTTCGCGGCAATTTCGTTGCAAATCGTTTGAAATTTGCAACGAAAATTTCATTATAAATAGCAACGCATAAATATATATATATATATATGCATATATATATATATATGTTTGTATGTATATATATAAATATCTATATACATAAGATTTATATGTGTATATATATTAATGTTATATGATATCAGAAGTTTAACTTTGGGCAGTTGGATGATTGCCAGTTAGAACTCTGGAGTTAAGGAGGATTGAGTTGGAGTAGTAGAAGGATAGGTGACCTACTAGAAAGTGAGTTCGAGAATTAAATTTCAGAGTTGGAGAATCTGGGCCAGGATCGGAAATATGTTTTGAATTTTTCTTTGAAATATTCCAACAGGTTTCGGTTGAAAATTCCAACGGATTGTGGTTGGAAATTTTCCAATGGAAAAATCCATTGAAAATTCCATTGAAAATTCAAACGGTTGTCCAACGGACACCGTTTTCTAATGACGAAATTTCAACAGATTTATTCGTTTGAAACGTTAATTTCCAACGGATTTGCCGGTTGGAAATGACCATTTTTTTTAGTGAAGAGTGAGGATCCAACGTAAATCATCATGTGAGATACCAGTCATGGATTACATCCAATCGACAATCTCATATGAGTCATCCAGTCACTTGTTCCAAACAAGTACCTATGATATATCTTGATCCGTATTCAATACATATGATCATCACTATAATCGTCCATCATGCCTCATGTTAGTCTTAATTCATCATTACTCCCACAATGACAAGCAACTAAAGAGTTTAGGATCGTTCATAACAATTCATTGATATCATTATTTATCAAACATGCAAAATAAATAATAAACAAACAATGAATTTATCATAACATACAAGTTCTCATATCGTATGATCATAATAGAATACCAAAACCATCAGAATGCCCTATATCGAGGTGAACATCTAAAACGCAAGCTAATCTCGACCAAGTTTTTTTTCGATGTGCAAAATAAAAGGTATTCGTATATGTATAAGTTTTTTGTGTGGTTAGTGGGTCAATGTTGATGTAATCATGTATGTTTTTTGTTCACGGGAATCAAACACAGTATTAAAATAGGAGAATGAAGCTATATGCGAAGAAACATTGTGTTTGAAAATCGATAGGTTATTGCTGTAAACACATGATAGTTCAGCAAATTGTTGCGAAAATCGATAGGGTATTGCGGAATATTTTGATCTCCTTGCACAATCCGGGAGTCATAGATCACAACGAATGTTTACAGCTATGGTATCGCATTAAATAACTATCCGAATTCAGTTTTTGCCCGACTATCATGCACTACAAAAAAATCCTCGAATTCCAACGGATTTTCCAACGGATTTGTCCGTTGGAAAATTTCCAACGGATTTGCAACGGTTTTCAACGACGTTTCAACGACGATTTCTGTTAAAATTCCGTTGAAAATTTCCAACGGATATCCGTTGGAAACACCTGTTGGAAATTTTTAACGGAATTTTCAACGTATTCAATTGAAAAATTGGGTTGGAAATTTCCAACGGTATTTCCAACGTTTATCCGTTGGAAAGTTTCAACGATTAACGTTGGAAAAATCGGTTGCAAATTTTTAACGGAGTTCCAACGGATGTTTGTTAGAAAACAATTCCAACGGAATTCCAACGGATGTCGGTATTTTTTTAAAAAAAATTCCAACGGATGCCGGTTGGAATTTTTTTTGAAAATTTAAAAAAAAAATTCCAACGAATATCGGTTGGAAATTTGGATTTTAATTGAAAAATCAATTGAAATATATATATATATTCGAATTCATATATATGTATGTATAATATATATTCGTTCATAACAATTCATTGATATCATTATTTATCAAACATGCAAAATAAATAATAAACAAACAATGAATTTATCATAACATACAAGTTCTCATATCGTATGATCATAATAGAATACCAAAACCATCAGAATGCCCTATATCGAGGTGAACATCTAAAACGCAAGCTAATCTCGACCAAGTTTTTTTTCGATGTGCAAAATAAAAGGTATTCGTATATGTATAAGTTTTTTGTGTGGTTAGTGGGTCAATGTTGATGTAATCATGTATGTTTTTTGTTCACGGGAATCAAACACAGTATTAAAATAGGAGAATGAAGCTATATGCGAAGAAACATTGTGTTTGAAAATCGATAGGTTATTGCTGTAAACACATGATAGTTCAGCAAATTGTTGCGAAAATCGATAGGGTATTGCGGAATATTTTGATCTCCTTGCACAATCCGGGAGTCATAGATCACAACGAATGTTTACAGCTATGGTATCGCATTAAATAACTATCCGAATTCAGTTTTTGATATATATATATATATTAACCATATACATATACATAACAAAAATATATATATTTATATGAATTCGAATATATATATAATATATACGTATATATATGTATATTATGGAGGTGTATATATACGTATAAACAAATATTTTATATATTTATACATCTATATATGTATAAATATAGATATATTTTGTGTTTATATATTTTTATATATACAAATATGATGTGTGTATATATACACATATATGTATACGAATAAATATATATATATATATATTAACCATATACATATACATAACAAATATATATATAATGAATTTGAATATGTATATATGTAAATATGTAAATATGTATAAATATTTATATATGTATATATATTAATGTTATATGATATCAGAAGTTTAACTTGGAGGAGTTGGAATAGTTCTAATGGGAACTCTAGGGTTAAGGAGGATTGAGCTGGAGTAGTGGAAGGATGGGTGACCTACTGGGAAGTGAGTTTCGGGATCGTGATTTGGTCGGGTCGGGGTCGGGGTCGGGGTCGGGGTCGGGTCGGGAATATGTTTCGAATTTTTCGTTGGAAAATTCCAACGGAATGCGGTTGAAAATTCCATTTGAATTTTCCAACGGATATCGGTTGGAAATTTCGTTGGAAAATTCCAACGGATTGCGGTTGAAAATTCCGTTGGAATTTTCCAACCGAAATTGCGGTTGGAAATCCGTTGGAAAATTCCAACGGAAAAGTTCGTTGAAATTCCGTTGAAAATTCCAACGCTTTTCCAACGTACGCCGATTTCTAACGACGAAATTCCAACAGATAAATCAGTTGGAAATCCGTTAGAAAAGTTAATTTCCAACAGAAATTTGGCCATTTCCAACGGATTTACCCGTTGAAAATGACCATTTTTTTGTAGTGATGGGATTCCTTGTTTTTTGGTTGGTTTTTGTAATTTTGATCACTTAATATGTACTTCTTTTGAATTTTTGAAAGGAATACAAACACATTTTATCAAAAACAAAACAGTGTTTGAAAACACGTGAAGAACAAGATTAAGAACAAGCTATATGTCGAGAACTGTGAGCCATCAACCGGGCATCCACTGAATGATAATGAGTGAAACAATTGAGAAGGAATGTGCTATTATTAAACTTTGAACACCGACGTTAAGTACTCCTTTTCCCTTTGATTTTTTGTCCTTTATGATTTTTTTTATCGCTTACTCTCACTACATGTAAATGCATAGGTTCTATATCGAGGTGAACATCTAAAACACAAAGCTAATCTCGACCGAGTTTTTTTTCTATGCATTTACAAAAAATATATATATATATAAAGAAAAACAGAGAATCTAGTTCAATCTCATGCATGCTCGCACTTAGTTTATTTTTAGGATCATTTAGATATGTCATTAGAATTGCATTTATATATATATATATATGAATATAATTTAAGATCATATAGATTAGCGTGCATAATTCAGTAGAGTTTGGAGTTAGAATAAATAAGTTTTAGGGCATGTCGTTAATCAACAGTTGATTCAACAAGCATGGACATGAATGCACACGATTCGTTGCTAACTATTTGGTTTCGATACTTTGAATGTAGTTGATTCAAGATTTTGTATTCTCTCATATGGGTCTGATTACTGCATCTTGGGATTGGGTGTTTTGATGTTCTCACACCAATCGTTACTGTACAACATATTTTGAAGTTAATATATATTTATCTTTACCAAAAAAAAAAAAAACATCTTATTAGAACATCGCAATTACGAATTAGAACATAGTATCACAGAAGGACAACGAAATGACCAGATTATACAATGATCGAGACGTATAATAAAAGGAAACGATGTTTAGGAGAGGCATGGGACACGAGGGGTTGTAGTCCGAGAATAGCCACGAACATTGCTGCACACCGAACATACTTCCTCTATGTTTCCTGCTGGTTCGATGGTCACGTCCTCCATTCTGACGTCGCTGCATGCCTTCGTATCGCTGCACTGCAATGATATCGCGTTTTTCACCGCCGACGTCCCGTGAAACCCTACGAAACTCACGTTGCTTATCTCCACCGCACTCGCCTGCATGCATGCACGCACGTACGCACGCATTTATTTATTTATTTGTTTTGTGAATATGATTAATATATATATATTTATTAAAGACTCACCCCAGATGGACAATGATCCCCACAGCTATAGTACTGATCAATCATGATAGGGTTTCCTGCGTCAATCAGTGTAATATCTTCGTATATTACACCCTTCACATAACCTTTTCCACCCTGCATCGTTATTTTAATAATAAATACATTATTATGTAATATATATACACACATATATAGTATATGTTTGTTGCGTCATTACAGGAACTGTCTTGATTCTTGCTCCATTTTGGGTCTTGTTGAATGTACAATGCTTCACTAGCACTTGCTCTACACTTTCTGTCCCTCCATTGCGTCCTAAACTCCCCACGCTGCGACACATACGTTGCTTATATATATACACAAACACGAAAGAAATAATTATATATATAACACTATTTGATTCAAATTGGTTAAATATACCTGATTCCGTGACCAGGACCACAGTTCACATTTATGATGTTGATGCCGACAACGCCTCCGTTCATAGCCACGCAATCATCGCCTGCGTCGGAATTTTTTTTCAATGAATACCAAACGAATATTAATTTGGATCAAGCTAAACCGAACCGAAACGGTTTAGGGATCACATGGAATCTAATGATCACTTTAGAATTTTCTATAAATAATATATTTTCCAAATCAATTCAATTATGAGTTGGTTGGCGAGTCAAATAAAAAATATTAAAATAAAAAATAAAAAATAAAAAAATTCAAAAAACAATTTTGGTTCGTGAACCAACTCGCTGATCGGTCAAACTGGCTCATTTTTTTTTCCATATTTCCAAAAAAAAATGAAAACCAAATCAAACCGAATGGGTTTAGAGATTACATGGAATCTAATGATCACATTAGATTTTTTTTATATGTGGTGTAGGGGTGCAAAAAAAAATTGCCTCAAAAAATAATTAATGTTTTTTGAAAAAAATTTATCACGAAGCGGCTGAGATGCGCTGTTTTTTTTTTCGAGCTCATATTTTCTATCCTAACTCGATAAAAACGAGATGACTCGCAAGCCGATTCATGGCCACGTTTGTTTCGGCATCCCAAATATGGTAATTATAAAAATTACCGGTTCTTATGTTGGAATCTTTGATTGTGATTTGGCTCGATGCAGCGATGTCGATCCCGTCTGTGTTCGGGCTTTCACCGGGCGCAACAAGATTTACATTGGATATTGTCGGACCGGTGCAATCTTGGATGCTAATATGATTTCTTGGAGTATTCACCGAAATAATTTGACTCACTTGAAGATTATTGCACCTTTTGAAATATAGTGACTGAAATTTACATAAAACATTAAAAAAAAGTATTAGTTGTACGGAACGCATTCCAAAATATAAATTCGGTTTGGTAAACCCATAAATTATCATCGTATTATACCGTTGGTCGATCTGCGTCTGTACCAATCTTCCACCAGGACTCACCACGACCATCGATCTTTCCTGATCCAACGACGGTGAGGGCCTCAACTTCTTCGAAGATTATCCATGCGTGTGTTTGATTTGATTTCCACTCACTAGTATTAGGAATCAAAAGAATTCCTAGGAGCTGTTTAAACACAATTAACAAATCACCTAACATAATTAATGTATATATATAGAAAAAAAAATATGTCGGATCCCAATCAAACGTTAACTTTGAGATTAATATTGCGGATTTTTACAGTCTAATAGAAATTATATATAATTTTTTATATTTTTATTTATATATTTTATAAAAAAAATAATATTTTATTTTATTTTTTTAATTATCAGTTGTATCTGTATAGTATATTCTATATACTTCAGTTCGATTTTTAATATGTAAATTTTATATAAAAATACCATTTTATTTTATATTTTTCTTTTAATACCGAACTTTCTCATTTAATTCATAAAATAAGCGAGACAAGATGAATCAAAATTTTTGGGACTCGCTTTAGCTAGGTGAATTTAAAACGAAACAATTCGTAGATTAGTTTGATCTTCAAATTATAAAATATACTTGGATACAGTATTAGTAATTATATATCGAAATTATACTATGTAACGTTATGGAGATATATATGAATAAGATACCTCAAATGTAACTTTAGATTTGCACGGACCACAGAACTTGAGAGGTTGAAGAAAAAACTTTTTGCCACCTGGCACTGTCAAAGTTTGATTTCCATTTGCTTGACATGCTGCTTCCCAAGCTTTTAGAAATGCCTTTCAAAATAATCACAAAATTCACTACTTAAATTTCTTTAAAATATAAAAATTTATCCTGATAATAATTAAATAAAGTTTTTCTTGATAAAATATGTTAATTCATCTTTATTAAAATTATAATTCGAGCACAATCATAAAATCTAAATCTATATTCTGCTACTACTAATAATAATAATAATAATAATAATTTTAATATAATACCTGTGAATCATCAGTTTTACCATCTCCGCAAGCACCGAAACTGATCACATCAACGTTACCTTCAACATTTCCAAACCCTAAAACTCCGACGCAAATTATTATAAAGCCAATTGTCAATTCCTGCGCAAAAATAATATTAAGTGTCAAATGTAATGATAAATTATAATTTATTTAAATAAAAAATCCACAGATTTAAACATCAATGCCCCCTTCACCATTTCGTATTATGATAAAATTATGCGAATTATGATTTTGATTTCTAGTTTATAATTCACATAAGTGGTACTATTTATACTTCCAAAACTTAAAATTCAACTGTGATATATTTGATTATTTAGTAACATATATGGGAGAAAATCTAGTTAAATTTGGCCATTCTCACCAGATTATGTTGGATGCATGTTACCTATATACACGGCTTATTAATTAAATTTAAATTACTTTTTACTATCGAATTGGTAATTCTTTTAGAAACTTATTTGTACTTTCTTATATATATATATATATATATATATATAGAAAGATTTCTATCCAATAATGTTTAACTCAGTTTATAGTACTGTATTGGAAGTTTTTTTTTTGAAAATATATACTTATCAAATAATGTATAAATAAAGGATGTTGTAGATGAATTTCATCTTGCATGTGAATAAATATATAGAAAATACTGAAATAATTTTACCAAATCTGCCTAAATTCTATTAATTTTCAAATGTATGAATAGAATGTATTATCATTTTTTCAATACCCACAAAAATAATATTTTAAATGATCCTTACCAAAAATTTAAATACCGGAATAGAATGTATTATCATTTTCCCATATGACATAAAATTCTATAGTTAATATAAACAAATTCCATATTTACACTGTATATTAACGGAAGAGCAAATTATAAATAAATAAATATACGAATTTGTTAATCGGATCTTTGGTCCAATTGTATCTCATAGCAAGATCAAAAAGATTGACCGGACAATTATCATTTAAGTTGTTCTCCTTACCAGTTCAGTCGTAGATCTTGAGCTGTTCGAATCTTATTAATAAATATTTTGTTTTTTTATCTCTTAAAAAATACTAATTTATAATTTTTCAGATGCGTTAACTGAGTAATATCTTTCTGGCGAACAGTACTAATTAACGTGAATTTTTCACATCAGTGTTGCATGACAATTTTTCAAATTCGTAAACCTTTAGAAATTTCTTTGATAGTTTTTTTATACATATATAGAGATGACCATCCAATAATGTTTAACTAAGTCTACGTACAATGTATTGAAAGTATTTTTTTTTTTGGAAATATATACTTATCAAATAATGTAAAGGATGTTATTAGATGGGTTTCATCTTGCATTTGACTAAATATATAGAAAATGCTGAAATAATTTTACCAATCCACATAAATTCTATAATTTTTTAAATGTATGAATAGAATATATTATCATTTTCCTATACCCACAAAAATAATATTTTAAATGTCAGAATAGAATGCATAATCATTTTTCCATATGACCAACAAAATTCTATAGCTAATATGAACAAATCTCATATTCACACAGTACATTAATTGAAAATAAAATTTTAAATAAATAAAAAAATTTGTTCGAACCTTATTGACAAATATATTAACTTTTTATCTTCTGAAAAAATACTAACTATAAAACAAAAAAATTGTTATAGATAAAATTTAAAAAAATAAAAAATTGTAAAATTTAGTTGTAAGACGTAAATATTTTGAAAAAATTGTATATAAACGCCCAAACTTTTATAAAAATCCTAGATAAATACCTGAGTTATAAAATTCTCTGATAAATAGTATAACCTTTTAAAAATCCAATATAAATATCTGAATTGTTTTACTTTTTTCTAAATCAATTATAATCCGTTGACATCGTTTCAAAAATCATAACCATTATCCATGTCACATGTCATGTTATCTAAATCGGTTTAATACTTAAAATTACAATCAAAATTGAATCAAACAGATTTAGAATTATTAAAGCAATAAAAAAATCCTAAAATCCTTAAAAATCCTAAAGTGAAACCGAACGCTTTCTCTGTCATACTTCGTCTTCTTCCTTGTCGAAGTGAGAGAGATAGTTGATTTGTAAAGGCAATGGGGATTGATGAGAAGATGGCGTCTTCCTTCCACTCGACGCCGGTGATAAGTCCAATGGGATCTCCGCCGCATTCTCAGTCATCCATGGGTCACCACTCGTGGAAGATCTCGCCGAACGATACCGGAAAACAGAAGGGACATGGCGGCGGTGGCGGAGATAAGCACTGGAAGGAATGTGTTGTAATCGTCACAAATGGTATCAGAGTCATTTCTCTCCCAGTACGGTGTGGTTCGAGGATGAACCAGGCGGAAGTTGGTGGGCATGTGACAGCCCAGGATACCGTAGGAGGGCAGAGAGTAATTGCCGGTGCGAGAGGCATGGACAATGGGTGGCTTTTGACGATCTTCTAGATAGGGGGTACAGGGATGAATCGGACGCACCGGAATGAGATAGATCCAATCTGTGTAGGTATGGGACTACACAGTCTAAGATAACTTAAAGGAATTAATTGAGATACTTGTAGCAACAAAATATATCTACCTTTTCGGTTGCCCATCTCGAGAGAACTCCAAAGTTAAGCGTGTTGGCCTTGGAGTAGTCTTAGGATGGGTGACCTCCTGGGAAGTGCTTTTCGGGATGTGTGCGAGTGAAGACAAAACACGCTAAAAAGTCCTCAGGTATGTGGAGACAGTTCTATCATTCCGTAGCGGTCTCGAATCGTCACAGTTGTGTCCAGAAAGTTTGTCTTCTGCAAGTCTCTCTCACTTCGATAAGGAAGAAGACGAAGGATGGTAGAGGAAGCGTTCGGTTTCAGGATTTTTAAGGATTTTAGAAATTTAGGATTTTTTATTGATTTAATAATGCCAAACCGATTTGGTTCAATTATGATTGTAATGTTAAATATAAACCGATTTAAATGACATGGCATGTGATGTGGATAATGATTATGATTTTTATTGCCAAATCATCATTTTTTTGGGATTCCGTTAAATAATTTAAAGTTGTCAAAATTGATTTAAAAAAATAAAATAATTCAGATATTTATATAATATTTTTAAAAAGTTGAGATATTTATGTTAAAATTTTATAGTTCAGATATTTATCTAGGATTTTTGTAAAAATTTGGATATTTATATGCGATTTTTCCAATTATGATGATATATTTTTTATTAGTTTTTTTGTATTTTATATAATATCATTGTTTTCGATGAAATTTTTTTGTCCACCTTTGTATATATATATATATATATATATATATGGTTTAATTTTGTATGTTTGTATTTTAGTTTTATATTTACTGCTAATTAATTAATTAATTTTAAATTATTATTATTAATATATTATTATTATTTTATTTTAAACGGCCCCGTTTTACCGCGGCTGCTAGCCTGCTAGCACATCAGTCACTAGTGATCTATAATCCTAATCAAAACTTAGACAAGCCACGTCGCATCAAATCGAACATACCTTGATGGGCAATTTCTCTCGTGTCGTTCCAAAGCTCATCCAAGCAATGAATGATCCACATGAAGCGTAGGGTCCGTTGAGCCTACTAGACCGCCATCTCCTAACACAGAGTCGATATACTGCGTGTCCCTCTCTAATGATGGTAGGTCACATGGTATATCCATCGGAGTGCTCCTCTCAACTCCGGGCACAAACATCCCTAGGATCAGAAGATATTAAGTCTATCAAGAGATCCCTAAAAGATTACAGAAGATCGTCAATATATAATGAAGATTATAATATTATTACGTAATATTATAGATTTGATATTATTTCTATATTGTAGTTATTATATTCATATCAAGAGAGATCGAGAAGATTATAGAAGATCTTTAAGATATAATGAAGATTATAATATTATCACATAATATAATAGATTTGATATTATTTCTATATTGTAGTTATTATATTAATTAAATAAGATATTTTATGATTCTATATCTACCTATAAATATTGTAATATTTTATATTAAAGGAAAATTCCCAAAAAAAATCATCCAATTATGAGTTAACTATCACATTCATCATGAACTTTTAAAATTTCCAAATTCATATTGGATTTGAAATTTTTTCTAAAAAATCATTCGAAATTTAAATTTTAACAAAATCCTCATCGAAACAGAATTAATTTTGCCACATAGGCAGAAAGCGCCTACATGGCGCCTACGTGGTCTGTACATGTTGACCATGTAGAATACACGTGGCATTAATAATAAAAATTTTAAAAATAGAAAAATGTAAAAAAATTATAAAAAATGTGAAAAAATTACAAAAAAATGTAAAAGTTATAAAAATTGTAAAAAATTATAAAAACAAATTGCAAAAAATTATAAAAATTGTAAAAATTGTAAAAAAATGTAAAATTGTAAAGTTCGTGATGAATTTGATTGTTATCTCGTAATTGGATGATTTTTTTTGGAAATTTCCCTTTTTTTAAAAACAAATTAAAAATTTATAATTTTTTACAATTTGTTTTACAATTTTTTATATTTTTTGAAAATGTTTTACATTTTTTTTACAATTTTACATTTTTTAAAAATTTTTACAATTTTTATAATTTTTTGGAATTTTTTTTACAATTTTTTACAATTTTTTATATTTTTTTACAATTTTTATAATTTTAACATTTTTTGACATTTTACAATTTTTACATTTTTTACAATTTTTAAATTTTTTTGTAATTTTTTCCAATTTTTTATAATTTTTTTTTATATTTTTTCTAATTTTTAAAATTTTTTATTATCAATGCCAGTGTATCCTACATGGCAAACACGTACATGCCACATAGGCGCCATGTAGGCACTTTCTGCCTACGTGGCAAAATTAATTCTATTCCGATGAGGATTTTGTTAAAATTTAAATTTTGAATGATTTTTTAGAAAAAAATTTCAAATCCAATATGAATTTGGAAATTTTAAAAGTTCATGATGAATGTGATAGTTATCTCATAATTGGATTATTTTTTTGGGAATTTTCCTATATTAAATAATGAGAAATCAAATTGTTCTCTATTATGGTATCAGATCCTGCACGACTAAATGTCGTGAGGTTCTCTACATCGGACTTTTAGTCTCTTCGATCGGAAAACTCCGATCATCGACCAACGCATTTGTGCCACATTTTTTTCTTTCTTTTTTTCAACTTCAGTCGCA